TTTATGAAGGGATTACCGTTAATGACTACTTCTTGAATTAAATTGTATCTGATGTCTAACCGAAGTTGAGTTGTGTAACTTGTCTAATGTTGAATGTGAAATGCTGATATGATCAGAAATAGTAATAAAAGGACCTCCCAAATGTTTCGGCTTTTGGAGGGTGGATAAATTGATTGGGGCCTTTTGGTGATTCCAAAGAACTTCTTTATTAAGAACTGGACTGAACCAGCCAGAGGGTGGGGTCACAAAAACAGATGATTGATTTCATTTTAATTGTGGATATTCGCTAATTAAGGATAAGGGTAGTTCCATCTTTCTAGTTTGTCTTTGATTTTTTGCAGTAGAGACACATTGATTTTGTATAAATCACATAGGACTGGGAAGATGTGAAGAGATACCAAGATACTTTAGCTGGTATGTCCAGGACCAAGGCATCCCAGTTAAATTCTCTCAGAGGCAGAAACTCGGATTTCAACCAGTTGATGGAGAAGTCAGACATCTTGCTATAGCTGCTGATCAGACTATGGACTGACGGAACAGACAGTGAAGGATAGGTGATATATAATTAAATGTCATCTGCATGTAAGATAATTTTATGATGGTGTGATTTTGACTAAATACCAGAGATTTTATTGCAAAATAAACACATTTTCAGCATTCAGGGATGCCATATAAATGGCGACTCATTTGGAGAGATTTTGCTGTTATACATGTGGATTAAGTCAGATAGTCTTCGTGTGTTTTCTGAAGACTGCCTCCCTTTAATGAATCCAGTCTGATCTGTACTTAAGAGTAAGAAGATTACAGAATCCATTCTAATTGATAGAGCTTTGCATATGATTTTTATGTCTGAGATCATTAATGATACAAGGAGGCAATGGAATGGTTTTAGAATAAGTGTGATATGTGCAGTGTCCATGTGTTGAGGAATTATTGCATTTTGGAAAATTTCTGAAATTACTTTTACAAACAAAGCTAAGAGCCAAAACTGTGGATAGAATACTGCTGGGTAGCCATCTGGTCCATTCGATTTCTGGTAAGGCATGAGAAAGAGGGCCTTGGTAATTTCTACATATGAAAGAGGTTTGTCTTTTTTCTCCACAGATATGTAACAGTTTCTGCACAGATGCTGTGTATAACTGTATAACTGCTCCTCCACAAATGTGTAACTGCTCCTCCACAGATATGTAAATGTTAATGCACAGATACTGATGTAAATATTCCTCCACAGAAATGTAGCTATTCCTATGCAAGCATGAACATCTATTCATTTGTTGCCATTGCTTTTTGACCAAATGTTTCAACCTGTGTCATTCTGATTTTCAGAAATGTAATGACTTACTATCTCATTGTTGATGTACTGTCTTTTAATTATTCAGTCTTATAATAAATTAGTATGTCATGAAAATGATTTTTTATGCTTATGTCACACAATTTCATAATTACACGATTTAATCGCATTAGATAGTATCAGATGCTCTTTTGTAATTTTGAGATACTGAGCCATGATTATGAAAAAATGTTTAGTTATTATACTAAAACTACATGCGCTTTAGTTAACAGTGAACTGTTTCTTGTTTATTGCAATAATAAATAAATTTTACTGTAAAAAGTTTTACTGACATTCTCCACACTGTCCTTTCAAAAGTTCTAGTATCTGACCGTGAAATTAATATTTTGGGATGAGTTTAGCACCCAGATTTTGAAAGGGATTATATAGAAACATTTATTCAGATGTGATCTCATTCACTAGTCCCTCTTATTTTATCAAAGCAGCATAAACATCTTACAAAGTATGTGTGTAATCACTTGTGTGACTTACTGACTTAGCTCACAACCTCCAGCTGCTTTTGAAAATCTCTCAGACAATTTCAAACCCACAAGCCCTTTTTCAAAGAAACGTCTTCCTACTGTACTGCTGTTCAAAAATTAAATATTCTTTCATAAAATAAAGCACCATGTACTATTGTACATCTTGAAGACTTGAAAAATTGCATCAAGTTATTTATTGAGTTTGCATAACATAAGCTGTTTTTTCAACCTTCATAAGAAACTAAACAAAACAGATCAGAGAGAAGCAGAAGTGAATCTAAAATACTGAAATGCTAATAGGAGCAGAATTTATCAACTGCAGTTTCAGTGCTTTAATATGCATCCAATTAAAAAAAAAAATATTGATGTTACTCCAAACCAAGATGCTATTGTAGGCCTCTCAAACCAGGTCATCTGAACTAGCACAAACAGAGAATCCCAGGCCAAGCAATTCCTTCAGAGAGAAATCTCTTTAGATATGAGACACTTAGCACTGAATTGTGAGTTCTAGTCATCCCTTTACTGAGCTTTCACCTTTTGAAAGTCTCTGTTTAATCTTTTTGACTGTGCTGACAGAGGCCTCTTACAGCTTCTTGCGAAATTTTTCAAGCCCCTTGAAAGTTATCTGTCCCCTCTGACTTAATGATGCATATTTCCAATCAATATTTTTATTGTCAGTAGATACATTAAAGAAAAGAAAAAAATTAAAATATGCTGTTTGTATAAGTGCACACATTAATATTTGGCAGGGCCTCCATTTGCTGTGTTAACAGCTTTAAGTTATTTGGGATAAATACGTATACATATACATCAGGTATACCATTTCCAATTCCCAAAATATGTCATCACATCCTAGTTGGGTAAATGTTATGCTTTCTGGCAAATTTTACTTAAGTGATAGAGTCTTTCTTGCCACCTCCTTGCACAAGTCAAAGGTGTGCTGGTGCACCTTTACTCTACTTTCAGCCACTGAACTGCCTCTTTTGAGGTGATGGCTGGTCTACCTGAATGCTGGTCTCCTTCACAAATCTAAAACTTGCTTAAATTCTAAGTTTAAACTCAGACTCTTTAATATCTATTTTATATTTGAGAAAGTAGCAAGCTTACAATGTATATGTTTTAGCTAAAGCTTAACTTAGGAACATACTCTCCGGGCAGTCATGTAGACTGGACTGTCTGCTCAAAGACAAGTGATTGGAACCTCTGTACCCAGTCTTATACCACTCTATCCAATTCCAAAGTTACTGGGGCAGATTTACTAACATTTTGCACTGTTTTTGCATTGGAAAGGGGCTGTTGAGATTTATTAAATAGGTGCAATGGTGCGTCAGTGCTAATGAAAAGATTAAAAGATCAGTCACCTCCTTGTTATGCTTTTGCTACAATGCATCTCAGACTACAAAATAGAGTGAGGAGCACAGTATAATTAAAATGAAGCACCTACTCCTCTTTACCAAGACTTATTGTAAATACTGACTGTGCACTTTTTATTGTAAATCTAAGTTTTCCTGAAGCACACAAGGTGTCTGGCATTGAATTGAGTCTGGATGACGTGATGCAATTTTCACTTCCTGATTATTGGTCCAACAGAGCTCACTGGGAGATTCAAACACTTGGATATTGTTTTGTATCCCCAGAGTAATTTATACCTTTGAAAGACTTTGTCTCTAACATCTGCCTGTTGGAATACTCGACACCCATCTGAGCATGCTCAGTGGAGCCTTCGTGTCTGCTTGGTTTGCTGGTCTGTCTACAAGCAAGAGGAGGTGAATGGGAGGTGTATGCAGGGTGACAGATGGTGAGGCAGACTGGCACTGCTGTTTGCCCTTCCACCTTCTTTGATCTGCTCCAGAGGAGACTGGCCATTCACAGAAAGCATGAACTGCAGAGCTTCCTTAGTTGGTTCAGAATCACTCACCACCAGCATAAAAACACAGCCCTGACCAGCAAGATCCCTGATGAGACCCACATCTCATTAACCCAAATCTGCCTGGACATGCAAGGTTAAGCCCAACCAGGAGCAGTAAATCAATGCATCCGAGCTAAACTGGGCTATCTGTAATCATGTTAGTGCTTTAGTTACTGTACCTCTGCAAGCGAGGATAACATTGAGCAAGCAGAGAAGAGAACGGACAGCATATGAAGGCTGTTATTTTCATCTGTACCCACACACACTCACACTGCAGTACAGCCATTCAAGCTCGACCAAAAAGTCCTTACGGATTAGCTGTAATTCCATCCTACCATCGCTACACCTTTTACCAGGCCCACATAATCCTGTGTGAATAGATACTTAAGGCAGCTAGTCTTTCATTTACTGCCAAAGTAGCAAAAGCTAAATTATACTGCGCTTGTCTCCTCAGCGGGTACGTCATCATGTACGCTTAACACCCAGGAGAAGTTGCAGACAAAAATGGGTTTCCGCCTCAGGTTTCCTGCTAGCATGGTGCATTGCAGTGTTTAAGTCTGGCATCCTATTACCAAAATAAATACACGTCCCACACACTACTTTAGGTTTGTCAGCAGACCTCCTAAGAACATAAGGTAGGCTTGGAAAATGACTTTTAAAGTGAGAAGGTTATCGCCAGGTCATCAAAGCAAATGAACATGCAGAAATAGAGATGACCCAGCCTACAGAAAAACAGCCCTCCAGAATTAATGGCACCTTTGGTAAAATTTGGCCAGAAAGGCAATGAAAAAATATCTTATGTTAAATGACAAAGGTTGTTTAACAACTTGATCTGATGTTATTCAGTAACTACAGGTTCTTCAATGCAAACTGGCTACGTTTTCTTAGGTTACAGAAGTGTCTAATAAAACTATGTCCACTTTTTAAGTGATTACATATCCTAATCATTTTCTAGTGATTATACAGAACATACATTTCATTAGGTCTGCACCTCTGACTCTATTAAATATCAGATCAAAAGACTAAAGACTAAAGATGCGGAAGGATCTAACAGTAGGACAATTACTTTAAACATACCTCCAACTCCATACACACAAAAAATGATACACTGGCAAAAGAATCAAGCTTTTGTGATAATCAGTCCCCTGATTTAAACCCGAGTCCACAAATCCAAGGTCTCAGAAGGATGCCAAGAATTTTGTAGGACACAGTACATACTAATCAGGATGAGTGCATGTTTAAGCAGAGAAGGTCAGAACAGGCTTTAATAGTTCCTTACCTGCTAATGATGAGAATGAAGACTACAGAGCCTGGAGGGCTGCATGAACGCATGGCTGCAGGAGTCTCAGGCGTCTGTCTAAAAGTGAAAAGAAACAGTGAAACTCTTTGTATCATGCAATGAATAAAGATATGCAGTGATAAAAGAATACAGCATCTTGTGGAACTTCAAAAGCTCTAGTATTGACTGTGATAGGCCAGCTGTTCTTGGCACTAGGCTTTTTTTAAGAAGCTCTCGTAATAGAGCTTAATGATTGGTTCCTGGAGTTACAACAAAGGCTGTATTTTATTCTGTGGAACTTTCTGAGGTTTATTTAGTAAATCAGATCTGAAAAACTAGTGGATGCATGTTAATAGTGATCATACTGCAATAGGTGTCACACAGCCTCCGAAACCCCTTGTAGATTCGGACTCGATCTCCCAGAATCCTCTGGGAGATCACATGACTTCTGATCTTCCCGTAGGCGATAAGACTAAAACGGACTCAATATCCCAGGATCCTATGGGAAGTCACATGGCATCTCATGTGACACCGCGCTCCTATCAGCGCTCTAGCTCTCCAGAGTATTGATGTGATTCACCTGTGTTATGTGTCATATGATATACTTAGTATAGTATATAAGCCCGGGCTTTAGCTTAGTAAAGTTGCGAAGTATTGTATCCAGTTGGTGACCTACTGAGCGTTTATTCTATTGTCGTGTATTTTGTGTATGACCTTTGCTTATCGTTTTCTCGTCTCTGCCCTTTTTGCTCTGCCCTTTGGACTTGGTTGCTATTGTCTCTGATTTTGGATTATGACCACTTGCCTGTACCTTAGACCATGCTACTGCTTTTCCCTTTTTGGACTGTTGCCTTGGCTGAACTTTGTCTCTTTCGTGTGCCTTCCGGATCTGAACTCTGCCTGCTTATCGACTACGACTTTGAACTCTGTTTCTACCAGTAAAGCCCTTTCTGTAAGTTACATCTGCAAGCGTCTGACCGTGTTTGAAACATTACAATAGGCCATTCAATTAGTCTGTAAAAGCAAAGTTCTGCAATTTTAGAGATTTGGAGTTTTCCCATATCTCTCTGCATCACTACCATTGGTGCAACATTTTCTCCTGACTGGAAAGGTGTATTCATTTTACAATCTGTATGCACACACTACCACAATCTGTCAGGTGAACAGATAAATGAATGTCATAATTCATTTCATTCTCTAAACTGATTGACCCCTTACATCCTTAAGTTATAGGACTGAGAAATGGAATCCTGAACCTGCTTACCTAACACTGGCATGAACCATAACTCATGCCTGTCCATGCCTAAGGAAGTATATACAAAATGCGCTATGTGTCTTATAGTCTGTTGAACCAGTGCTGTTGCTATATGGCCTTCTCTGCCCTGCCGTTCCTGAATCCCATCTCTTTAGCTTCCCTTTCCTAGAGGACTGCAAAGGTGTTATCACAGAATTCATAGAAATAACCCAGATTAAATGGTTACATCACTTTTTGAATATTACATTCCCATGCCCTGGCCTCTGACAAGCACCTCTTCTTGGTACCCAGTGAAGCGATTCCTTTTTGTCTCAACAGAATCAAGATGAGCCTTTCATCTTTCAGTGCACTGCTTTGACCCAAACCCCACAAAAAAAGAAAAACCTTACAGCTGGACACCAGCACAGATGAAAATGACATGGCAGTACATAATACAGTCCTTATTGAACCTTGAATTTCCTCGCTGCATGTCCACGATTGCTATTTTGAGCCTGGACGGCAGATTTACTCTCAGAATCTCTGCTCAGTCTTCCAGCATCAGGATAATCCATGTGCAGCTGCGGAGATGTGTGCCAGACAACAGACCTCTGCCCTGCAGCACATTATCTCACATACACACACATAGAGCCACTCCTAATGTTGACCTCTGCCCCTTTAATGCAAACTTTAGTGGTCGATTATCATTTATTTGCTGAATTTAACATACTAGAAAGTTTTCATACCCTTTCAGTCAGTCTTTTTGGTTAAAATCACAGACTTCAAACGTTTCTTATAGCCAGCAAACAGTCTTTTCTTCCCTTGATTTAGGATTTTTCCCCCTACTTTTCCCTGCAGACCACTTAGTTCAGAAATAAAAATAGAAATAAAAAGTCTTTTTGTATGCGCATCATGTTTGAGATTTAACCACAGATTTTCAGTAATATTTAAGTCTGGACACAGTGAAGGCAATTTCCAAATGTATGTTTTGGGTCATTGTCTTGTTGTAATATATAACCTTTTTCCATACTCAGTTTTTTCACTGGCTGTGCAACATTTATTAGAAGCCTTTCTTCCCTCTCTCCCTGTGCCTCTGCCTGCCACACAGCCTCAAAGCATAATAGATCCACCCCATGCTTAATAGCTGGCAAGGTGTAATTTTCTTCAAATGCTGCTCCTTTTGCTTCTAAACATATCTTTCGTAATTGTAGGATTAGAGTTACATTTCTGTTTCATCAGTCCACAGAATGTCATTCCAAAATGCCTCTGCTTTATCTACATGTTGTTTTGTATGCTTCAGACATACAAACTTTTGTAACAGTCAAGGTATTACTAATGATCCTTCCATGTAGATGATGTTTGTCCAACAACACTCCACAGTTCCTGTGCCAGCCAAATCTTCCTGTAGGTGTTGGGGAGTGATGTGGGGGTTTTGCTTTGCATACATGGCCAGTCTATGAACATTTTTTCAGCGGTTTTTCTTGGTCTTCCAAATCTTGTCTTGACTTCCTAAACTTTTCTTTAATTTCTTAAAAGAAAATTAAAAGATAATTTCTTAAAGACATTTCAGACAGTGAATACAGTAGGCAAGAAGTGTTTCGATATCTTTTATAGTCTTGCTTTATAAGGATCAATTATCTTAGATCCTAGATGAGCAGAGTTCTGTGTGAAAGTCAGAGATTACCCTTCATTTATGTAATTCCCAGTCAAAACAACCATTAAGCACAAGTTATTACTTTTTCCAGAGATATTTCTGAGGAGATTAGATACAAGACAATCCACTTACATAAAGAAGGGTAAAGTCAAAAGAAAATTATGATAAAAAGAAAACGTTCCATAACTAAAATTAAAAAAAATATATTTAAAAACATAAGGAATAATATACGGAACATATGAACATCAGTTAGGTGGACTGATAGACTACCAAAACTGTCAACATCAGACATTCAGGACTTAAAGCTAAGGAGAAAATCAAGCTCCACTCTTGCTTCAAATCTGAAAATATTCACATGAGATTCTGTCTATCCTTCCCCTCTGACAATATTTACTGTGTCTAAAAGAATGTGTAGCTGTCAATAAGCAGATAGTAAGAAAAAAGAAAATCATTTGCAGATCAAGCAAAGAAACTGCTGGTGTTCTCAGAACAATGGACTGACCACCACAATCCAGACCTCAAAATCATCGAATGTGTTTGAGATTACTTGAATCATGAGACGCAAAAAATGCAATCAACATCAACAACTGAACTTCGGAGGTGTGAAAAAATATCTGTGTAGAAAATTGAAGTCTCCAGTAAAGAACGCAAATTGTGACAAAAGCAGTGGACAGACTAAGTACTGAACAATTAGATATTATATTTAGTTCTTGAGGCTTCTGTGTAATTTTCTCTTAAATATATGGTTTATGCTTTTTTCCTCACACTGAAAAATGAATACCTTGTACTTAAAAGTCATTTTTACTGGAGAATTAAATAAATGCAATGTGGTCTCTGACCTTTGCACAGTACTGTATATGCATATATATGTAAATATCTACATGTTCATGTAATAAGAACATTTTACACCTAACCCTAAACCTAGCCCTATCCTTCTGCTAGTCATGACACCCTAGGTTATTCCTGTTTTTCTCTCGTTTTCCTATAAAGTCAGGACATTTTGTCCTGAAAATGTCTGAAACACACATAAGCACGCACACACTCACCCACACACATACATTCACATATACAACCATACATCTTTGAGAACATACTCAAGGCCATTCTGGATTGGAGCAGCATTTCACATGCCATAAGGCATGAAAATCGCTTTAATGCCATCTTCTCATCTGCTGATGTGACCTTTGTTCTAGCCACTGGATCTTGATTCAATGACAAAGTGATGAGCCCTTCACCATGAATCATTCTGCCTCAGATAAACTACAACTGTACATGCTGTGAACAAGACCATCTACTGCCAGCTGAAGCTCATGTACTCACATAACAAATTATTGTCCCCATTGTACTCCCATCCCAGCAGGCTCCACTTGTCCCAATGCGCGCACACACACACAACCACTCACACGCACACACATACACACACACTCTGAAAGGCTCCATGGAGCTGCGATGCTTTTCCCAGATGCCTCAGAGCACTGTCAAAGCTGCCTGCTCACCAAGCCGTCCCCACACACAACTGTCTCATCTCCAAGTACAGAGCTTTTGATTTTATTATTTCATTATTTATTATTTTTAGGCTGCGGGCTCTTTCTGCCCGCCAGCTCTGCTCATCCTGGAATGTGCAGGAGACAACAGGGGGCTGATCAAGAAAAGCAGATCCATTAATAAATGGGTAGAGCAAAACTCCCTGCCAACGCATATCAGATTTATACACAGCAAGTGAGGCTCAGGTGTGCAAGTGCAAATGTGACTCCAGAGGACAGTGACATTATTCCTCTTGAAGATCAAGTACTATGTCTTAGGTCACTTGAGTAAATTATGTTTAAAGAGGCCAGCAAATCAATTGTGAACACTAAAACTCATTTCAATGGGCCTCATTCACCAGCCATTCTTAAGTAGAAATTTCTTCTCAAAACCTTATTCACATTTTTACAAAGATTCTGACATTCACCAATGTTTCCTTTTCTGAGATTTGTTCTTAGGTAAAAACAGAATCTGTGCACAATCAAGAGCATAAATATATTAACATTTCTGTGGTTTAAGAACACTTCATGAATCTGACAGACTTTTTCTTAGGACCTTTCTCAAGAACAGTTTTAAGAAAAAAACTAGGAAGATATTTGTGAATCAGGCCCAATGATCTAAAAATGTGCAAAATAAAATAAAATCATGTTTCAAATGGAATAATAAGCTAGAATACTGTTCAGAAAACTGCACAGTGATTCATAGTGGTATAACTACTGTAAACAAGTCAAGTCTTAAGCTTTTATTTTCCAGCAGATATCGGATTACAGAGGTGAAGTTAGGTTTAACTGGGTGTGCTGGTAAGTTTGGTATTTGGTGTTGGTGGTAAGTGGAATTTGGCCAATCATCATTAGCTTTTGCTAAAGTTTCAGACTGTGGCTTGGTGGCAACAAATTATTGAAGTGATGTGAGCATTTTTTAGACTAGGCAAAAAAAAGGCAATTTACTTGCACATTCTGCCTGGCATTTTTAGCTCACTACTAAAGTGGCTATGATTTGTGTGGGGTGTGGCTGTGGAATGGAGCCAAGAAAAATGAAAGATTTAATGCTTTAATGCTTTAATTCTGATTGGTACAAGGGAACACTTGATGATACAGTATTTCAGTATCACCTAACCCAACTCAAATCCATCTGAAGAAACCTAAAAGGCAAGTTCTTAATCAAAATGACCAACAGTGTTCTTTATTAGGCAGATGATAGTGCATTAGGGTAACTTTCTATTTTGTTAAATGAAGTGCCCTCAACACACTTGCTGGTCACATTTTGGGCACCCCTCCTTCATATGCTATAAAATTGTAACATTTAAAGAAAAAAAAAACTTGTAAATATTGTAAATGAACTGTATGAGTATTAAGAGCCCTTTTAAAGTTTAAAGAACCTTCAGATAATGTAAATGCTCTACACATATTAAAAGGTCCAAGCCAAGAAACATATAGTAACTTTTGTTTTTAAGAGCATAGTTTTAAACATATTATTGCCTGCCCTATCACATTTGTACAATACTGTATTTCAGGGCCCCACATTCCATTAGAAATCCATTTCATTTACAGTGCAAGCATGAGACTCAAAGATAAATATTTGAACAAGCAAATCCAATATTTATGAAGGAGTGTGAATCTTCCAAGGCTGACACATCTTTCCCTGGAGAGTGCTATAATGCTTATCTAAAGGCAGCAACAATTGTGTAAATGTCGGCAACGATCTGAGCTTGAGTTGGCCCTGGAACATCTGCCCAGGTACTTCACTCTCTCTTCTACATCCTCCCTTGTTTAGCCACACTGAGGCAGTGGTTATGTAACTCAACGCCCATTACATGGCTTTTGGACTGGGGACAGAGGTGTTTCTCTGTGTGACAGTTGACATGTGCAAGGGAGCAGGGACCTTGAGACAGAGGAGCTGACCCAAGGCCACACAAAGTTGGACACTTTAAAGCACCACTGGGCCACATTGTCCTTGTTGGAGGCCCAAGAATTCTGGCCACCTGAGACTGGCCACACACAGCACAGATCCGCTCTACAGCTTTCATATTTAACCCCTGAAACCTGGGCCTATTTTTCATTTGTTAACCTTAGAGGCATTCACTGTTATCTATAAAAATGGGCAAAACTATTGACAAAACTCAGAATGGCTACACTACTACAGTTTTTAGCTATGCAAAGTACTTTTTACCAATTTATAGAGTCATTATATCATATATTGCAGTAGGGA